GGTTCTCCTTCGCCTGTTTACAGACTCCTATCAATCAGACGTAGCAGACAAAGTGTCAATCAAATGTCAGCCGTTCTTTGTGTGAACTCCAACTATCCATCTTCCACTTCCATCCATCACTACCAACCCTATTATAAACACATTGCTGCCTTTGTCCTTTTCTCGACCCTCAGCCCACATTCCTCTTCCCATCTAAATAGCACACAAGTGTCAAAATCAATGCCGACCGAGATGAAAAGAAATGCGCTTTGTCTTACTGTTAATCACCAAGAACGTCTCTAAAAGCATGCTAAAAGATTCACGAATCCCCTCTCCGGAGACTGTCCCTTTTTTATCTCGGCAAAGGATTGTTACGTCGTATTTCCGTTGTAATCCGACCTTTAACTTCGGGTTTCTCTCTCTTACCTCCCCCCGCCGTCCTTCATCTCCTTCATCTCCGACGAGAAAAAAAAAAAGGAGTGATCGGAGACAAAAGACGAGGCCACGCTCGGCTGGTTCCAAGTTGAGGATTTCCTTAAGTTTTATTGAATGGAATTGTGATGGAGCACGGCGTTGGCATCGACCTGCCAGACCGGAATGACGGCCAGGGAAGGAGGAAGGCCCCGGTCACTTGAGTGAGAAATAAAGACGGACCGCCCGGTGAAGACCAGAGATCACCTGTGACAGCTCCAGGTCCTCCATCCATCATGAGACCATATTTCAAAGCGGAGACACATTTTTCACATCAAACGTCCTTACGTAGCTTATTCTCCCCAGCCCCCAGGATAAAAAGGAATGCGCCCGTCTGTCTACCCGCGTGTGTTGAGCTCCCCCCCCCCCTCCCCCCTCCCCCCTTGAATCCTAGGCAGGCTAGTTCGAAGGCGTTGACACGTGAAGACAATGCACCTGCGTGATGATGCAGAGTGAAAGAAGAACGCTTTCAAGCCCGTATCATCATGTTCGACAGGTTGAAGAAGAAGAGGCGCTACATTCTGATGGCTTACTCTCGAGAGTCTTCTCTTCCTCCCCACCGAGGAGATAAGTGGCTCTTGATAACGTGCACGAGTAAACCCCGAAAGAGAGGCAAGGGAGCGCACCGATTGTCTGAGCCCGAAATCTCGGAAGCTGACACGGACGAGCGTGATCCCCCGCTTGTTTACATCTCCATTCATGGACCCGAAGTGGGCGATGAATGAGACCACTGTTGGTAACGCCATTGAAAGCAAACGCGGAGAAGACAAGGAAAAAAAAAAAAAAAAAAAAAAAAAAAGGGAAGGAAAAGCAGGGAATTGAACCCAGGCCTTACGATTACCAGTCAGAGATGCTTCCTCTACACCACCGAAACTTGGACATACCGTATTATATCTCGATGACATCCTTATCCATCACGATATATAATTGAAAAAACTTCTCCCCCCAAAATGTGTACCCCCAGGGCATGTACCTCCAAAGTAGGATTTTTTCTGAACTCTGCATCCCAAAAGGTACATGTGTACCAAGTTTCAGATTTCTAACCCTTCTGGAACATGGTTAGAATTAGCGTCAGTCAGTCAGTCAGTCAGTCACGATCGTCTATATATATTAGATACTCATGTCCTCGTTGTCGCCCCCCCCCCCCTCCCTCCCTATGCACACACATAGTCTCTACCCTCTCTGAAAAATGTAGGCTTGGTCTGGAACAGTGATTTTTCAGCCATCTGTACCAGATTACAATACTAAGATCTCGACTGTACCATTAATCAACTCTAGAGACAATTTTAATTGATCAGTCGAGTTGTGTGCTAAAACGCAATGTATTCGTAAACAATCCGCAGCTCGCATTTACAGCTAGATTTTTCCTTTATTGATCTTTGCAATTTTAGCATTTGCTACCCCAAGTATCTTCAAAGTGGAGAACATAAATAACGCTCTTCTTGCGCGTATGAACCTCAGTCTGAAAGGAGAACTTTCCCAGGGCCTTCTTCCAATTGCTGAAACCGTATTTTATAGCGTCCAAAATGACGCTGAAACGGAAGGCATTTCCACTTTCTGAAGTAAAACTGAGGGTGGCATCATCATTGCTTCATACAGTCGCGTTTTGACTACCCTGGTAAATTTGCACCCTATGTGGGGGCACATGTTGCACATGCCTCAGGCCGGCCCTGCCCCTTCGGTTGAAACTTCCTCGCCCCCATCGACCGAATATGAAACTGGAGGCCGCTTCTCAACTTCTCTGTCATCCTTCACAGATTTTTTCCCGCTTCGACAAGGGCGATTAGTTGCACCAGAAGAGTCTTCACGTTCACCATCTACACAGGATTTTTTCGACCACGAACGTATCTGGTTCAGTGGTTCTCAACCTTTTTTATACCGCAACCCACCGAGCCCTCTTCCCACATTTATGCGACCCATACATTTGGGAACGTCCAGAAATAATGCAGCCATATCATTGAAAATTTTGTATATAATTTTTTTTAAAACACGGATATGACACATCCAATATCTAGGCACAGGTGATTCCTTCATTATTCCTTTAATTGTTTCTTTGCCTTCTCTGAATGAACTCGACTGGTTCATCCATTAATGTTGAGGGATTTCGATATAAATGTCGCTTGAATGAAATTTCAAATGTTTCATGGATGCATCAGCCAGCTGTTCACCTCAAACTAATGATTCTTGGTTCATGTTTTTTGACACTGTGAAATGACATGAAGGTATGAATCATTATCCTTCCGGATTAGTACTAGTTTTGACTTTTTCTGCTGGAGGAAAGCCGACTTCTGTCAATTTGACATCACCAGGGGCGCAACCACTAGTACCAGCGCTTGCGTTCGGGTTTATCGAGAACGATTTATCTGCATTTGCATGTTAAACCTAAATATCTGAAAAGTAACTGCAGGAATTTATGGATTAAATGAATTTCATAAACCTCATTTCTCCAATAAACTACAGAAACGGAATTATATCAGATCAGGTAGCAGAGATACGAAATCGACCAAATAAAATTTGACTTATGCCAACAAAAAAAGGCACCTCGAACCACAGCACCGAGGAATCAGAGGGAATGCGGTAACTGACGAGGAGTTGACAGGATAAGAAGAGCAAAAATGGTTTTAAAGACTTTAAAGCAGGGCTTTCGGAATGGATTGTTTTTCGTTCCGCGTTCCGTTCCGTTCCCCCTGAACCCCATGTGTTCCGGTTTCTGTTCCGTTCCATGATGATTAATTTCGTTCCGTTCCAGGTAATATTTCCGTTCCATTGTGTTCCGTTCCGTTCCACTGTTCCACAGGGAAATTTAGCAAAAACATTTTTTTTGTCATACGCCAGAAACGTTATATGCCAGAAGCTTTCTTAAAAAATCGCGATTGCAAAGAAAAAATGGTCTGGGTACTTGGAACGGGACGGAACGACATTATTCCATTATCGGGACTAACCATTTTCATTCCGTTCCGGTTTTTCGTTCCTCGGCCATCAGTGAAAAGCGTTCCGTATTCCGTTCCGAAGCCCTGCTTTAAAGCAGTTTGCCAGCAAGCTTCCTCCCGGTGCTACCTTCTAATATGGATCAGTAGATAAGATCATTCCTGGAAAGTCAAGTTCTATTAATATTGCCTTCTCGAGTTTTTTTCTTATGATTGATCTCCGTCTTTTCTAATATCTCTCTATAATCAGCATTTAATTCATTTCATTCTCTCACGACTCACCTGGTTGAGAAACACTGCTCTAGTTTGTACCAATGACATGACTTGGTCACTCACTGGAGAGAATGCCCCGAGATTTGGAGATTAAGCTGGACTTCTGCTATGAATTCCCCCATCCACGCTATAATTGGATTGATCACACGCGCACGATTCATCACTCATTCCCTTCGCAAGTGCGAAGGGAATCGTTCTCAGGTGCGGTACTGATCGCATAAGGTCAGACACTGCAGGGCTTCGCAACCGGTGTGCCGCGACAAAGTCCCTGATGTGCCGCGGTATTTTCGGAATCATTGGAAAAGAAAGAACATCCCTGTGCTTTATTATTCGCGATGTACGAGCCACGATCGACGAACGTCGGTCGAATTGACTAGTGGGTGATGAAAATATTATACACATTGACATTGTGAAATTTGGTTAGATATGCCACGAAGTTCGAGCAAACTCGAAAGTGTGCCGTGAAAAAAAAAAGGTTGAGAAGCACTTAGGTATTGTATAGATATGTGTGAAACCACCGAGTCTAGAACATACTTCATGTGCCACTGTCACGTCACAAGCAGTCAGGATGAACTTTTTTTTTTTTTTACTTGGCAGTGATCCTCAAGTTCAAAAAAACTAAGAGAACCAACAAATAAATTTGAGTTGTTGAGGGAGCTGAGCCCCTTCTGCCAATTTTTTTTGGGGGGGTCTGAACCCCCCCATTGAATGGCTGCCTATGCTGGCAAGATCCCATTTAGAGTATTGTCTTCGACTTAGGAGGCCTGCAAGTTGAAGTGATCTTGAGAGGGAGAAGGGAGCTTGAGAGGATTTAGAGGCGCGAGAACTTACGCACGAGAGCTAGGTAAACGTTGGGACTCAACTCTCTAGAGAGACGGTTAATGACAGGGGACCTCTGTCAAGCATTTGTGTTGATTAAGGATATCGATCGTGCGTAGCGTGGTGGGTAGGTAGCTCGACGGCAACAGATTGGAAGGAACCCATTCAAGATGCGTAACCCCTAAATGGTTACGGAATTATATTTTTGTGTGAAGGGTAGTGAATGCGTGGAATGCATTGGGTGATGCACTCCCTGCCCATAAGTGACTAGCTGAAAAAAAAAACAGATGCCTTCATGACAGAACAAAAAAAGAATTAATGTGGTGGAACAGTAACTATAGTCGTTGGATATCGTTCCACAAGAAATATATATTCAAGAGTTTAGGCGTATCATGAATTTTGATCTTGATCTTGGACGTCATGATGGGCAAAAATGTCAATTGACAAAGTAGGAACTACTTGAGCATTGAACCTTTAAATGTTCATTTGGATCAGACATCCCTGCCTTCTTTTAGTTAACATACGCATTACCACGTGATGTTCGATTCGTGAGATTGTTTTGCTCGTTCAGGATCGTACTCAGCAGTTGTCATCCAACTTGAGTTGGTTTCTGACAAGGTTTTTGTACAATAGCCGACAAACGTTCTTGAATCCGTTGTCTTTTGACATGGATGCCATGCTGAGGAACGTTATTCTCATGGGAGTGAGCCTAATGCTCATTTTCACCGCCTTTCAAACCACCGGCATAATAGAGGTGAGCCTCTCCAAACCCATTATTTCAGTCGATCTATCTCTATGTAGGACGTAGCCCCGAGAATAGCGAATTTTATATGTCGCCTCTAACAATGGCCTAGGCCTATCTTATTTGAAAACCTTTTTTTTTTTTACATTTTGCAGCAAACTGTGATATCGAGTGTGAAAACTGACGATCCATCGTTCAATGGTGATGGCTATCTGAGTCTGGCAATCATCTATGCGGCCTTTGCCACAGCAAATTGGCTTGCCCCATCCATCCTGTCTTTGTCAGGTCCCAAGTATGGTATGATCATGGGGGCTATACCTTACATGTAGGTTTAACTTTGAGTGCAGAAAGGCCATAATCACAACTTTGAGGTAAACCATGGCCATATTAAGTTGAACTTTCGTGGATTTTCATTCGCAGCATATTTGTGGGATGCTTCTTGAAACCTACTACCTGGAGTCTCTATCTGACTTCTGTTCTTGTTGGCATTGGAGCGGCTGTACTCTGGACTGCACAGGGGAATTACTTAACTCTCAACTCAAATGAGACTACAATGGGAAGAAATAGTGGCATCTTTTGGGCCATCTTCCAGTGCAGGTTGTCATGACTTCAGTAGAGGTTACAAAGTTTGTCTTCATGCACATTATTTTGTAGTGTTATTTCCTTTTCAGCATGCTGTTTGGGAACATTTTTGTCTTCTATGCTTTTGATGGCCTGAGCTATATTGAAGAACACACAAGAAGATTGGTATTCCTGGTTTTGCTTGGTGTTTCTATAGCAGGACTCCTCCTTGCATTCCTTTTAGGGACTGTATCACATTCTGATGCAATTGCCAATGAGGCTCCCCTACAGGCATTGAAAGAAGCTCCCAAGCTCCTTGTAACCCAACAGATGTTCCTCCTTTGCTTCACTTTCATTTATACAGGTGATTTCATCTCTCTTAATTTAGGCCTATTTAAATTAAAAATCTCCAAAATTATATGATTCTTTTTTTTTTAATGTCCTATAAGGCTTGGAGTTGAGTTTCTTCAGTGGTGTCTATAGTACAGCAATTGGATTCACTCTGGCCTTTGGTGAGAGAGCAAAAAGGCTGGTTGGACTCTCTGGTGTTTTCATTGGTGTTGGAGAAATCTTTGGTATGTCCCATATTATTGTATTTAACTCTGTTTAAAGAAACTTTCCTTTTTGTCCATGATCATACATTTTTCCCAAGTGAGAGTATCAGGAATATATTCCAGTGCTTGAAATTAAGGCTGTTTTGATCATCACAACCTCATGATATCAGTTGATGCATGGTCCTACTGGCAAAGTCTACACATTATGATGCTCTTCTCTTGGTTTTGTGCATGTTTGGGGGAGCAATCTAACTTGAGCACTTTTTAACATAGTACCCTTGGACATACATGCACTTGTTCCACCAGTGCACAGTGGTTCAGAATTCATCAAAACCTGGCCAAAAGTTGAAAAATGAAGTTTTAATAATTGTGAGAAAATCTTATAACAGTCAACTCTCGATATACTGCCACTGTTGATCCCAGTCAAATTTGGCACTATATTGAGGATGGTGCTAAATCAAAATGCATGGCTTTAAAATTGGAATTTAAAAAATAATTTATATGAAATATGCCCAAATTTTCACTTTAATCCAACAGAATCCAACTACACAGCTTTGAAAAATGATTCTATCTATTCCATCCATGGTTAAATTCAATCACTTCTTATTTTAATGAGTATAACATCTATGCACCATCTGCTGACATTATTGCACCAAAACACAGAAAAATTGTTCACAAAGTTTTCCTGACCTTCGACAACATATGCCTCTTTCTAAGGGCACGCTTCCAATTTTTCCTTCACACTTAAAACCGTTCTCTTCCCCATCACTGTATAGTTAATAAACATGAACTGTCAGCTGAAGAAGCTGTGTACATTCTGAATGAGACATTTTCATTCCCCAAAAGAAGAGACAGGATTAGGCCAGATTCGGCAACCCTATACATCCCCTCTAATCCCTGGAGGTCCATTCCAGCACTAAGATATCCCTCACAATCTTGCTATCTATCGTGAGATCAAAAGGAGCAGCTGGCAGCCTTAAATTTGATACTCTGTGCAATGATTGTGGCAGGTACACTACGCTGCTTGGTGCAATATTGAGTAAGACTTAGGTAGAATATGACACGTGCAAGTGAAGGTGTTGGCGGATGGCGGCTAGCAAGGGTGGTGCTATAATGGGGGAGCACCTATCGTAAGCCTATAGAGGAGATTTGTTCTCAGGAAGGAGTTACCAATAAGTGAGTATGGTGTTATATCGGGTGGCGCTATATCAAGGGTTGACTGTATTTTAAATTCTGAGATGTCCATGTATCACTAAAACAACAAAATTTTTAAGTTTCTCCCTCCCCAATTGATGGAGTAATTACCTAAAGTGTTGGAAACTTCACGACAGGAATAGATGTAGTTTTGTATTAGTCAGTTTCCTGGTAATGGCTGTTTTGAAATAAAATAATCACTTCATAGTAAGAAAATGAAATTTACTCTGAAGGAAGGTGATGATGAGTGACTTCTTTTCTATTAGTTGTTAGCCTTGTTAAAAGTCAGATTTTTCCATAAATTGGGCAATCATGAAACTCATTTTTTTAAGCTAAACTTCCTCACATGAAAATGCCCTGCAGAAAGAAAATGTTAGTATTTCAATTAAACTTTGAAACTGACATAATAAATAGTTCTATGTTCACAATTTGGTTTGGAAATGTTAAACACTCCATTCCCAGTTAGGCCTGGAACTTTTCAGCCAATCCCTATATATGATGCATTGATCAAAGAACAGCTGAATGGAAAACATTCATTTTCTCACAGTATTTATATAAATGACTTGGTAATTGGAGCAGAGGAGTGATGAAGGCATAGCTAAACAATTTTCACTATATTGTAGCACTCATATCAGCAGTTAGGTCACCAGAGTAGTATATCTTAACTCCAGATCTGAATTATTTCTGATAGTTAAATTATATTCATTTAAAGGGTTTTAAAAAATTTTGAACATAGTAGCAAACGAGTCATTGAATGTACATGGGTATGTACACCAAGTCTAAAGGGGTTAACTGGTGTTTTAAGGCTCTTGCTGTCTTAGAATATCAATTAAGAAATGTTACAAATTAAGAAATTTGTTACATTTAACAAATGTTACAATGTTTCTTGAGGGCAAAAACAAAGCCATGTCCAAGAATATATATAAATCAGTGGTTTTCCTACTTCCTTTCACTCCCATTGAACTTTCATGCATCCAGGGGTCATGACTAGTTTGAGAATCATTGATGTAAATAATCAGAGAAAGTATAAAACAGTGAAAAAGCATGCTAGTGTATCTGATTCTTTGTTTTTTGCCTGGAAGGAAATGGAACCTATGATACCATGGCTTCAAAATGTTTGGTTCTTGTGGGTCTTTACTGGTGATCCTTCCATGTCTGACTCTTCTTTGTGTGCCATAGCAAAATAGTTTTGTTTTTTTTTTATGAAAGCCCAGGTATAGCCTTTACCACAAGAAATTTGTATGCAGACATGTAAAGTACAGGATGCTTTCCTTTTTTTGAGGAGACTGCACAGAAAGCAGGCTTCTATGTGACAAATCAATTTGCACTCATACTGCTGCTTTTGGGTGAAGGAAAAGGACTGATGTCTCTTGCTTACTCTCCTAGCATTCTACATTTATCTGTTTACTCTCACCAATCCAACCCCACCCCTTCTATTTTTTTATTATTGTAATACATGCTTAGGAAGGAAACTAGTTAGGAATATAAATTTTTTATCATATTCATCATGTGATGACATGTTTGTTCAAACCAAGTGGTTTAAATGTAGCCCATTTTTATTGAGAGGAAGCTCACTACTGGATTGGGTTTTCTTTCTATATATTTTTTCCTAACTTTGTTCTAAATTAGTTGACATTATTAGTTTTTACTTTTATGATGTTTTGATTGGGTCTCCACAGATGCCAAATGGTTCAGGAACATTGCTTTTGGCTGAAGAAAAAAGAAGACAGGCCAAAAAGTGAAGTCTAAGCTGATGAAGGAAAAGCACAACATAGTGAAATGGAGAAGCTTGCATCACCATGTAGAATTACCTCAAATCATTAGGCTGACGAGAAGAGAGGCCAGAGATGGCAAACATCCTGGTGTGATACTCCCTTGCAATGTTAGGAATACTAGTAGGTAGCCTGTGCAAAAACACAGAATAACTTAAAGGAAATAAATGCAAACATGACCATGGAGCACCAAAAACACCCCTAATTTCTTGAAGGTGTCTCCCTACACTTCAAAATTCATCATTGGAAAGGCAGGGTGGATGGGGAACTTATGCCAAGTGAAAATGAAGTGCAGCCCAAATATCAACTCATTAACTATGAATCATCGCTTTGTAGGACAATGTGTTATGTGGGCTTTTATTGGTGGCCTCATGCTGATCTGTTGACATTGCAACCTGCCGTGCATGTTTCCAAACGATAGTTGCCTTTGACCATGTTGCATCGACCTATTCCTATGGCTGTGGGAGAGCATAGGCGATCACACTCTGCGTACACGTGTGTCATTTGTATGTGTGTGCATGCCATGGACCACAGTAGATTTTATTATATAGATAGAGCAGAAGTGTGAGATAAGGCAGACATAACCTGCTAATTCTATTTAAGGGATGCCTCCTCTCCTTGATTTTTTAAATTATGCTCTTTACCCCTTTCATTGCTATGGGTGTATATACTGTATGTCAGTCATTTCAAAGGTACCATCCATAGTATAGTAATTGTAAATGAATAGACTAAATAGTCAAGTGTGCATTATTGCATAATCTGATTTAATACCATCATTCACAAAACTGGAAATGGCCTGAAAAATACTCCACTTAGGGGACATTGACAATCTAAACTCAGTGGCAGCAAGGTTAAACTGCTAGCTGCTTTGTTATTCTGCCCATCTTATGTAAGTGGATGAAGCTCCTGCTTGAATTGCACACAAAAGTTACATAGTTCTCTGCAAGGCGTGTGTGCTCTATGAAGGTCCGTGAAGGTTTTTTTTTTTAGATTCTTTTTCCTTCTGTCATGGAATAGCAATGATATAACATTATCAATTGATGTATGATCACCAATGATCTGCTAAAAATTTTGTGCAGCCCTACCATAGTTGTTGTGATGTCTTTCAGGGGGGTTACTGTTTGGCATTCTTGGTAAGAAGACAACAAGATATGGTCGGGACCCAGTTGTTCTTCTGGGCTGCCTGGTTCACTTGGGGTGCTTTTACCTGATCTTTCTGAATCTCCCAGATGACTCTCCCTTTGGCAAGACATCACATCTTGCTCCAATTGAAAGCAGGTGAGGTTCTTTTCTTTTATACCATGTGCCATAATCACACTGTATAGTCATAGGAGCAAGTAGTGTGAGTCCCTGAACCTTGAGCTCAGGTAGAACTCCATGAGTTATGGAAAACCCTTCTTCACTATTTCATTGTGCTGAGGTTAACACCTATATCATGTGTAGGTTATCATTTGCATGTGAAGTATCATGTATCCAATGGAAATTGTTACAGAATGGTCATGCAATAATAGATGTTTGTAGCAGAGACAATTTACTAGCAAGCCTAATTATCCAGCTAAATATGAGATTTGGCTGGAGATGAATTTGATATGATAGAATGTGTTTCTATAGTGATTGTGTTTTATAGAAGCAAAGAAGATTTTGTACCTCAAAATCCACTGGAATTATATATTGCACTAAGGAAAAAACAAGCAATTAAGCTTGTATGTCAATGATATCCATAAAGATATCTAATAGATGCAATATTTGATACCTATGCAAGCAAGGACAAATTTATGTTCAATTCTATTGTTGCTACATCCTTACAACAATACCTCTAGAGCAGGGGTGTCCAGCTGGTGGCCCGCAGGCTGGATCCGACCTGTCAATTCATTTTCTCTGGCCTGTGAATTCCTCTTTAACAGTTGATTTCAGAAAATTGCTGCATATTTCACTCATTCACATTAAAAATGTGGTGTGAGGTTCGTTAGTGAGCCCCCCCAACACACCTGAACCAAATCATATGATACCTGCCAAATTGAGTTGGACACCCCTGCTCTAGAGCTAAAAATATATTAAGAAGTTGAAGTATAAATTAATAAGATGGCTTTGATTGTAATTCTTAATGCAGTAAAGAAGATAACAGAGTCAAAGGATCTCACCACAGAACTGAACTTTAACCCTTTGATGAGTATGCCCGTATATATACGGGCTGACATCCTCCTGCCCTCCATATATTCACTACGGGTGATCTACTAGACATTAAAAGAAACCCATTCCTCAAAGGGTTATGAGTACCAGCAGTCCTCAACTTACGACGCACAGCACTTACAATGCGCCTGACTCAGTCTTTGTTATGATGCCATTTTGGTTGTGGAAAACTGTTGTTTTGCTTGCATTTGACTGTGTTTTGACTTACAACATTTGGACTTGTGATGCAACTTTCAGGAACCAATTGTGTTGTAAGTGCGAGGACTACCTGTACTCACCAAAAAGCAGGAGGCCACTATGTTCAATCTTTTGTCAACTATGTGAGAGCCTGAGATTTTGTGGATGTCCCTGCTGTCATGAGAGTATTAGAGAAACAAGTTATTCAATAGGCTTATATGTGTATGCACCACTGAATCTATAGTTAACCCTTTTGTGGGCAAATTTTTTCTGATATGTAGCCTTCCCAGAGTGAGGGGAGTATCAAAAATTTTCTGGGAAATACACTTCCCACTGCCCATGAAAGAGTTAAGGCAGAGCCACCTTGCATGAGGGCAGTAAAAAGGAGGCAAATATAAAAAACAGGAGTTAGACAGGGTGAAATGATTTCTCCAGTGCTTTTCTTTGCCTGTATCAAGAAGTACCCAAGAACTGAAAATTGGAGAAGGAAACATCATCAATGTGGAAAACCTTACAACTGAAGGATTTTGTTTATGGCATTGATCTTGTGTTAGAATCCTGAGAACAACTGGATCTGGATCTGAAAAGAACTGGAAGAACTTCATGCCTACTGATAAATAATGAACTCTAATGACAAAAATGAAGAGAATCAATCAAAAAATCAAATCATCATCCAATGTTCATCTGGCCCAAAATAAATTGGATTCAGAGGACAATCATTGGAGCATGTGAACTAGTATATCTACCTTGTACAACTTGTGAAAATCACTCCAGATTATTCAGAAGTAGCAAGCAAAAGGACATGGCTGGATGGAGAGCATTTGGCAAGCTCAGCCACATCATGAAGATTCAATTATCCATCTGCCCAAAGCAAAAACAGCAAGAGTGTCCTCCTTGCAATGGCCTGTGAATGTGTAATTAATCTTTCATTAATCCACAACAACTAGATACATGTAATTAACCTCTGATGAGGCAGCCTCACCCTACCACTGCCATGACTGTAGGAAAGCTCACGGGAGTACACCTTTTCAGTAACACAGACTGCAGGCTTTGCATGGATGAGTTTTACTCAGTCTGGAGAACTGTCTAGGCATACACAAAAGAAATGAAAGCCTCCTCATGAGTGAGAGCCATAGGTTTACATATGAGACTAGAAGTAATAATCATATTTCCCATTCCCACATGAGGAATATGAAATGCCAATAGCAACCCAATTACATTGACACCAAACTCTTTGTCATGCTCCAAAAATTACAATATACCCTCCACCAATTAACCTCTTGAACATACCAGGTATTGCACAATTTCCTGGCTGTCATATACCAGAATTTTTGTTTAAAAAAAAATTTTTTTGCTGAAGTTCTCTACTTAAATGATATTACCTCCTGTTGTGATTCTTTTCCCCCCATTTCTTTTCCTCCTGTTGTGATTCTTTTCACTCACTGTGAGCAACCCATGAGTGTCATGTGCATTGGTTGCATGCTTTCTCCATGACGTACTGGTGCGTCATATGTTCAAGAGGTTAAAAAATGACCTTTATGTAATTCTCCTTAAATTCAGAATTCATTAAATGGAAATTTGTCATTTGCTGCAGTCACAATTGTGTCTTTAAATCAATATGCATTGCTCAACTCCTTTTGTACTTCAGTCCTGTTTGCATGTTGCACCTCTCCCCCCCCCTTCCTTGTATTGACATTCCTGCAACCATTTAGCTATGACCCCCTTGCATATTCCCTGTGTGTATGTACATGTATATCCAAACTATTTTTCTTCCTTTTTTGACACAATATGGGGATTGCCTAATTACTGAGGAATGAAGATGAAGATGAAATGTAAATAGCTCTCATGGCTGATTGTAAGCAATGGTTCATACATTGCTTATTCATTTTCATGCTCTAAGGAGCTCTGAGGAAAATTTGCTCAACCATACTAACTACTCCAGCCCATAATGTTCACTAATTTTATTTGGCATGTATTTAGACCCAAGATTCCTGTTTTATTCTGACTAGTTTAGTGTGTGTGTATGATTTTTTTTCCATCCTCAGTACTCATTGTGACAATAATTATTTCCTTTTATTTTTTTTTCTCTTCCATCATAGTGCAAATCTGGCCATGCTGTGTAGTTTTCTTCTGGGATTTGGGGATGCATGCTTCAACACCCAAGTCATTGCTCTTCTTGGGATTCTCTATTCGGAGAACAGTGCACCTGCCTTTGCCATCTTCAAGTTCTTCCAGGTACTGTAGTTATTCAATTTCTTATTGTTTCACCTGTATTTTATTTCAAATAAAAAGGCTGAGATGACAGGCTTTGGCATGGAGGTCAAGCCAGAAAGTCTGATGGCCTACATTAGCTTGATCCCTGAAGCTCTGACTATTTATAAGAAGACAACATTGTTGGCTGATACAAGTGGCTACAAATGGAAAAGGAAGCAGAAGGAACCAAAGTAAATAGGCTATTGCCTCCATGGAAATGTGCAGATATTCCAGAAATCTAACTAAGTTGGTATGATCAAATGCTTTGGCCTGGGTTTTCTGCTTGTAGGAACATCTTGCAGTAAATCACAAATCAAGAAACAAGATGAGAGTTTTTCTTGGTTGTATGCCTGATGGTGACAATGGAATATTTGAGGATTGGACAGATGTGGTTGATAACTTTCCCAAAAGCTAAAGTTCAACCATAAGCAACTCAAGATGGAAACAAGGCCCAAAATTAGTAGTTCAATGAGGCAAAATTCACAAAAAATTAATAGTTACTAGGTGTAGTAGGTACTGGACTGGTTACATCTACTGTCAGTTACTGGAATACACTCCAGAAGGTTGGAAGATGTTGAAGTTGGTAGCTTATTTGGTGCCTTTGCCTTGCTCATATTCTTTCATCACCTCTGACCACTATCCTCATTCTGATTGGTAATGTGAGATTAGACATATCGGACTCCATAGACTTATGTATATACCCATTCTGTCTATGTCTTGTGAGGCCCATACCATGTTAATATTAATCAATGAAAGAAATACAGTAGACTCCACATCCATGGAATACTCCACTTAACCCTAATCCGGGCAAGGTGAGTCCGCTGGACTCACTACGACATATTTCGGTCTATTACTGTCATAATTTTTTTTAACTATCAGGACCATTGAATAAATTGTCTGTATTATTTTAGTTACAGTACTGTTATTTATAAGAATACATACCGTAACCGCAGCAAACGGCNTATCAGGACCATTGAATAAATTGTCTGTATTATTTTAGTTACAGTACTGTTATTTATAAGAATACATACCGTAACCGCAGCAAACGGCCTTATTTTACACGAGTCTGACAGACTCACCTTGCCCGGAATAGGTTGTAAAAAAGCTTGCCCGGATGAGGGTTAATGTAATACCATTGCACAATCCTGATTTATGGTACAATACAGCAGATAGTCTCAGTTATTGGAATACTCCGGATTATAGAATAAAGTCCCCTGGTCCCATGAGTATTCCAATATGAGGAGTTGACTAAATAAATTTGCAAGCTAAGGCATTTCTTTCTAGTGAATTTCCTGGGAATAGAAGTCACACAACATTTTCTGGTAGCAGTATAAGAAAACCATTTCCAAAGTTTGCTCTTTTGCCAGACCATTGTTTTGCATTACAAAAGTGAATCATGATGTTATTGAAATTCAGCATTACAATAACAAGTTGGCCAGTGACCCATTCTGTAAAAGGGCACTGTTCATGATGAATGGGGAGGTATGTGACAGGGAGGTAGTATTCTCAAGATACCTCTTTCCTTGGCCATGTGGCTCTGACTGACATTCAACATCATCAATGATTTGCTTTCACCATGATGGACATCAAACGCTTGCTTTAGTAGATAACTTGAAAATGGTTTTCCATGCTCCTGAACTCTATATTGACAACATTTTGATTTATATGAATTGATTCTTGATTGTAGAGCTTGGCTGCAGCTGCCTGCTTTTTCTACAGTGGAAGCATTGGGCTTCATTATCAGCTACTGATTCTGGTTGTGACTGTCATCGGAGGGACCTACTCTTTCTGGTGGGTGGACTGGACTCGTACTTCTCCCAGCTTGGAAATTGACTCTGTGGATGATGATGCTGGTACTGATGTTGATGCTCAGGGAGCTCAGTAAACTTTCTCATTTTCTTTCTTATGGGATCTAGTCATCATTGGAAGATCCATGGGATGGTCACAGTGCTGAAACATGTATCTTGTTTCCATGCCTGAAACCATCCTGAATTCTGGATGACTTGCAAGTGCAAAGGGCAAATTGAACAGTTGTCAGAAAGGATCATTACCTGTGATTTATCACTTAAGCTGTATTTAGCACTTAGACAATGAATGTATTATATTTTTCTTCATTTCAGACCTGTTCTATTTCCTGAAATAAATTTTAAATCAAAAGATAGGTTAGTGCTTTTGAATGAAAAAAACTTTTACTCTCTGGCCTGTAAATGTGGAATAACTTACCGACAGTTTTGGTCCTGGCAATCCCATTTTGGTATTGATGGTTGCTGGTGAATTTTCTTTTTGCTTTAATTTTAAATGCTTATCTTTTGCTCCTTCATCAAATACAAATTATTATTTTTTCAATGATTGACTATAAGTGCCTATCAGATATGGCTGGTCATTTGTTTTAATTTTGAGAAGTGTTGGGTTCCATGATCATTTTGACTTTGCTTTAGGTGGCTACTGGTGATAAACATGTGGCTGCAAATGCTGGTGATAAAATTCATTTCCCTTTCCTGTGATTATTAGCAAGAGTAAAGAGTACAATACAATGTGCTCTATGATCAAAATGTGGCTCACTTCTTGGAGAAGCTATTCCAATTCTGTTGATAGTATATAACCACATCACTGTTGTGACTTGACTTGAAAACTTTTGAAATGGTACTTTTAAAATCTTAACTCTGTGACTCCCCTCAAGAAAGTTTCCAGTGGAATTTTGTGAGAATCTGTTCTTTCTTTGAGTGAGCAGAAAATCTGAATCAAGCTTCAACCTTTTTCTGTAAGAAATGATGAAAGCCATAAGTTAGCCCATCAAGTTTTCAAATGCAGGTTTGGAAAATCTATGTCCCTGCCACAATTATCATAACAGCCATTTAGAGTTCACTCCTCTTCCAAGAGCCAAATAGCTCAGGCAAAGAATGAGTTACCATCAGTTGTCTGAAGTACTGTTACTTGCATAGAAGGTATAACAAAGTATGAGCTCTTCACTCAACATATCTGAAATATGTTATACTGGTACAAGTAGTTACTTATGCCAAACCCAGTATGATTCACTGAGAAAAGTACTTGAAAGTTGTGCTTGCATATGTTATAAAGGCATTTCAGGTGTGCTCGATGCCCCTATTTGGTACTTAAAAATGCTTACATGCATTATGCATCAACAAGTGCTCTTGTCATGTAATTCCTGCCTTAACAGATCTTGTCAGACTTTGCTGATTTAACTGAGTGATATTTTGCAGGTTATATGAGTTAATCTATTTCATATATAGTGAAAGATGCATTTCTATCAACTTTCACCTGTTGGTCACTTGTTCCTGGATGAAAATCCAGGTACATCTGTATGATGGCAAAGTAAACTCCTTGGTCTTTCAAATTTGTCATTTTTGGAGTTCCCTCTTGCTGAAAATAGGCATAGCTATGATGATAACACTTATCCCATAAAATAAGGCTGGGGGGGTTAAGTGTGATCATTCCTAATGCGGTATTAGATCCAGTTTTATGTTTCAATTGATATTAGAATGTAGAGCTTCACTCAAGAGACTAGTGATCAACTCTCATGAGGTTGAAGCCACCCATTCTTGGCTGAAGATCCCTGTCTAATTGACACTGTGTATTAGCCTCTACACAATTGATACAATGGTCTTTAGCCTATCCTCACAATGCATTAGAATTTGGTCATTAATAAATTATTGTTGGCTCTTCTTTATCCATTAATTGTAGCAAGTAAAATGTTCTTGGCATATGCAATACTTCCATCTAATTTAATATGTTAACTCCAGACTTTGAAGAGGTAGCTAGATATTTTTCAAATTCCCATAAATGACCGTACATCCTCTGGCTATACAGATGTGGGAGTGAATGTTATCACTGGAAGAAATGCTAATGTCAAAAGAAAATGCATACAAATCATATGAACAGGCTTGTAGGCAATTTAAATTGATAATGTTGACTGCTTCTATAACAAGCTAATTCGTATTCCTTTGACAAAACTGTATTTTTCCATTTTTCATAATTACCCATTAATAAAGTATGCTAGCATATTTGTGGCCCCCATAAATGATGTTGGCAGCATGGGATATGCTGTTTTTGAGTCTAAAAATTGACATTTACAGTTCCAGTACATGATACTAGCAACACATCATTATCACACTTTTCCTCTTCAAGCTTTTGCCAACCCCCATAATGAAATCACTTTAGGTATTGATGATATGAAGAAATAATATTGACTTGTGCCCAGGTTTCAAATAAACATATTAACTACTTTGCCTAAATTTTATTGTCATAGCACCAATTGTCTCATGATCACACTTGCCTCTCCGAAGATGTCAATGTATTCAAAATGAATATTTGTGCGCAAATGTCATTTTCAAAGTGAGAAGATGAAACTGCCATTACTTGAAGCTAACTGGTAATGATGATGTTTGTAGATTTACTTGATTATATTTACAATTGAACAGTTTGTTTTTTATCCAAAAATAAAATATATTTTTTAATTACACTTACCAAAATGGCCTTACATCTAATATCTAGGCTAGGAAGACTGGAGTTGTCACCATTGACAGAAAAAAAAGGGAGCTCTTTGGTACGTACTGCTTGAAAACCATTCATTCTGGAACCCAGAATAAAAGCATGCTATTATATTTGGAGCATGATAATGCTCTAGGGCACTCCTCCAGAAGTCTGCTTTTGTAGACACTGCACTGCAGAGAGAAACATATTCCACAAGGAAGATATTGTGAAAGAAGCCTACTTCTCACATGCATTAGACCAAGGAGCACACCCATGTGACACATGGCTGAAAATTTATTTTAGTTTCATTGCAAGCAAAGAACAAGCTATTTAATGAGCTGACTTAGAAAACAGTTTTTTGCACTTGTATTTCATTCATGAACAGAGCATCAACCTGATAATAAGACTAATCATAAGCCTGAGCATCAACAATGCTTTGCCCTGTTTTATGAAAGGAGTAAAGATGAAAATTGTGATATATTTTATATGAATCTGTTGCCACTCTGACACAATTAGGAAGAGAGCTTGCCAAATCACTTTTATAAAGTGTAAATTGTGTGGTGTGGTGTCCTGTGTGAAATTGTGTGTGGCTTTTTTGTAATTATGAATGAAATGTGAAATGAAATTTGAGTCCTCTACTAAGGATCAGGATATATTGTATGCCTCATCATCATGCTGGTAACAAGAATTCCACAGCATCCAATAAATTCCAAGAGTTCATCAATTATTGAATGCAAATGGTTACAGATGATCCTCATTCCCAGGACTTGTTTCTCTGCCTTCATCAGATATAATAAACATCTGTATAAAGTATCTGTATCTGTAAACATCTGTATATATCTGTAGTTTCTAGCTTTTCTTACAAAGCAGGTAACTATCATACTGTTCATAGAGGCTTATTTTACAGCAGATGTGGCTGCCCGCCTTAACAGTGCTTAGCAATCCCTCTTATATATTTTTTTGCATTCTGAGAACCAAGATATTGATGTCAGCACATGCACCTCCAAGCAGGCTACGAAAACCTTTGCAAACCTAGGAACAAGATGCCTTTTCCCAGGAAATATGGGAAGGAATAGGTGAAAAAAGATGGGGAAAATATCCATGCTGAAGGTGAGGGAAGAAAAAGCACAACAGGATGAGGGTAGGATATGGCATTTTCAAATCAAAACATGGAGTACAATCAATATTTAAACTCCTTTCCATTATGGAGAGACAGTCTATGATCCTAGCATTTCCCAAACACAATTGGAACTTCAGCCATGAAGCCTGCTGCTGCTGCCCTATTCACTGCAGGCTATTAAGAATGTAAATTCAACAAAATCCCACTGCCCTATTTCTCGTGCCATCGAGAGGTTGAGGTTCAATCTAGTGAATTTGAATTACTTGATTTTCAGCTGTCATCTTGAATGTGCTTTCTCAAGCATGATTGTATATCTTTATACCTGGAAGACTCCTTTGGTGCTCTATCATGCAAGGTAATGAGAATATCAAAGACTGACATTATTCTTGAAGAATTGAACTATTCAAAGAAGGCAAGGAAGTGAAGGGGGTTTGGAAAGAGACAAGTTACATGCCTGAGGAGGTTGCCATCACGGAGTTTACACAGTTTTTGTGTGATTTTTTGCACTTAATCCTTTCTGGATTAATCATCTAGATCTTTGTTGTATGGATTTAAGTCACCCACATAACTGCTGGCAGTCTGATTTTATCTCCAAAACTCCTGAACATTCACTAGCTGAGTAGTGCAACTGTCCTAAAAATAAACAGTTAATAGTGAAGTCATTATTGACACCATGTCAGAACATTTTCCTAAAAAGTTACAGTATAGCATTAGTACATATAGGTCATGGAAGAAGGCATTCTGTGGCACAAAAGTGGCCTTTCAGCTAATAAAGGTTAAATTTACATCTAAATCTTTGTCATGATTTGATTTCCTGGAAAAGCCTACATATTAGAGTATTTGCTAGATGCAGACTAAGTCTTGGCAAACCAGAGTGAAAAGAAATTGGATTACAAATTATGCACTGTTTTACTCATGCACACACCCACAGAAACTTACACCTCATCTTTTCTCCATTTCCAAAACCCATCCCTGAGAGTTGGAGTTTTTTCCTAACTCTAGAATTAGGTGACTTTTCCAAAAGTAAAATATTTTTAGTTTTTTAAAGGTTTTTGAAGAAAACCTCTGAGGGAAGGAGAGTACTTTTTGTTTCTACAGAAGCTCATCTGGGATCTTCCTTGAGTTTTAGCACTCACCAAGAAGGACTCACAACAATGACACTCCATATGCCATCGCTTTTCTCTTGTGGAACCCTTGTTTGTTCAAGTAAATGCCAAATGATGGGGTTGCAGCTCTATCATTTCATAACCCATTATTTGACCTATATCTTGTGCACCAATTGGATTGAGCCTGTGGGCACATTTATTTTACTAGTTGATGTCTATCCAATGATACCCATGGTGTCAGAAGATGTAATAGTCAACTTTTATCTTCCATTTCAATGTCAAGTTTTTCATGAAAATAAGAAATGCATTACATCAAAGCAAGTTTTCGATCATAAGAAGGATACATTTTCAAATGCCAAGGAATCTGTATGAAAATTTTCAGGGCTCTGTATTGAATGGTTGC